ATACTTGATGTGATGATACAGTACAGTACTGATCATTTTATATATAATCAACTTCATTCAGACGTGTAGCAGTTACCTGTATATGTAGTGTACTTTAGTCAATGCCAAATTACGACCAATTCCCATTTTCTGTCATCAAGCCACGTGTCTGTCGCTTCTTGGGGGTTTCCCCGGGCGAGTAAACCAAGCTACACAGTGTGCCGTCACAGTCGCTTCTTGGCGCCTCGGGTACTGGGGTTTTACTTACTCTCACTGCCTGGTGTTGCGTTAGTTTTTAAGTTATATTCAATAAGCGTAGCGACGCGACAGTAAGCAGTTTGAGGCAGTAGTTTGGTATTTCAAGGGGAGCAAAAACCCACCGAGCATATACACAGACGGAAGCTCACCCTGGCAAGGTATTCTGACCTGTTGCCATAAACTATATCGGGACCCAACCGTTCCTGTACTCTTCGGTGGTAAACAGTCTACCTAAAATGCGTTATGTTATCCATATCTTGTGATTGGAATTTAGAGTTTACTCAGGGAGGTCCTCATTAGCTTTGCACTGATCTTACGTTAATAGAATAATGTCATGGGCGGAGTTATCGCGGTTTTGACGTCACACGGCGCCAAAATAGCAGGGGGAGTTGCCAAGTAGGTCTTACGTGCGTTAGGGCGGTAACTACAGCCGGAAGGCCAAGCTCGTCGTCTTTCGATAGTGGTGGCGAGGGAGATCACTGATATGCAATTCATTAACTTCATGTGTTAGATGGCGAGATAATCCTTCTATCACTGGACGAACGTGGCCAGAGAAGATTGTTGTAATAATTATAAATTTCAGATTTAGTCATAAATCTGATTTAGGAAAAAATCAACGTCTATTATTTTTTTTTTTATATATATATAACGCAATTAAAATAAAATTGGTGATTTTTCCATCTTGCACCGGTATTTCTCTCGCTGTTATTAATATGTTTTTCGTAATGTTTAGGCAATTCTAAGACCTTTGTTTTTTCCTGTGATATTTCCGCCGGAAATTAAGGATAACCGAGATATTAATTTTTCACTATTAATAGATTTGGTTTGTCACATTTGTTGTTTACGTCTCACTGAGAAGGTCTGACCACCCATCACGCAGTGCTCCTTACCTCCGTGTTGTCTTCTTAATCGTCTACAGCGCATGTGCGGGGGGGGGTTCTTCTTGGCTATGGCGATAGGAGACTTATAATTGGGGAAGAGTTCTTTGTCGTAGCCAATAAACAATGTGTGGGTGCGTTGGGAGCGGAGATTTGATTTTCAGTACCAGAGTAACCAGATATGGTTGAACAGGTGGAAAGAGCTGTGCCAACATTGTGATGGAGGTTATTTTACGTCAATTGCAGAATTTCATTAGAAAATTTGTGTTAGGTTAGGCTTGATTTTGTTGATTTATTCTGAAAAAAAAAAACATTTTCGTTAAGATGATGAGTAGGGGGATCTAAAAAAAAAACTATTGATTTGGTGGCTGAAACGAATATCAAATTCGTTGTAAACGCATCAAATAACATCGGAAAAACTTATCTACGGTAACACTCCTCCAGGCTTGGAAGAACACCACCCTCGTGTGTCTGTCTCATATTATTTACTCTCTATATATCACGTGTGAGCTTCACTAGCTACTGGGGTGGTCGGTAACACAGGCCCGTGTATGATCAACACCTGCCAATAGTGAGAAACTGTAAGTTACTAACCGTACACCTGGGCTAGTGACCTGTTGAAGGAGGAAGAGGTTAGGTGAGCTGATTCACGAGGCATTGTATCCTAAACGTGGAGGGAAGCTACCCTAGATTTTTTTTACCTATCTACTCTGTAGGTTCGAGTATTAAAGGTAAATGTATATTTTATTGACAGTACCTTTTCTAATTCCCTTGTGCAAATAATTTACAATTTGCTAAAATTCTTTTTTTGGCGATGAGTTAAAAGAAAATTGTGGTTGAGATCTTCAAAATATTAAAGTATGAAATTGGTTGAGAATTCTTGGCTCAACTGGTTTAGTAGCACTAATATACTGTATCTGTTTAGTTTTTCATGTACAGTTTTGTAGTATTGATTCATTTATTTTTTCACATAGATATCAACGTGATTCATTTATCTCTGACAAAAGCATCATGAACCTGCGACCGCCAGCGCGCGCGCGTGTGTGTGTGTGTGTGTGTGTGTGTGTGTGTGTGTGTGTGTGTGTGTGTGAGCCCATGCTCTAGACACCCACCTTAACACACCCGCTGGACAAAAACCTAAATTATGAAGACATCTTTAAAGGTCCCTCAGTGTTTCGTGCTAGTCACCCCGAGTGATGTAGACGAGGCTATTTCTAGAGCGAGGTGTTGTGTGTACTGTACTGTAGGTTCTCCCTCGTGTCCCGGGAAGCGTCGCTTACGCTAGATGTCCTTCAGTACCGCTGCAGCTAGAGCATTAGTTATATACAGAATTGTAAACTTAATTAATTTTTAGAAGTGCTGACGTGAAAGTTGATCACGTTGTTATCTCGTGTGAGATTAATGGTCAAGATTATTCAAAATACATAATTATGGTCACAGCTTATGTAGAAGGTAGGAAGGTTGGTTGGTGTTGAAACTTACTGGAAGTATAAAAGGAAACTGGTATCAATATCTACCCGTTAATGTCAAGTTCTGTCAACTACTGGTGGTTCACCTTTCTAACAAAATATGGAAGATAGTGGTTGTTGCTTGTCACATAGTAAAAAAAAAAATTTACAAAGAAAATGTACACCAGGAACGTCACTTATATTCACAGAAAATGGAGGTGTGTCACGGAGCTCCTGTTGTAAACAACGAAAATTACATGTGGAATTTACCATTTAGAAAACGGGAAGTTGGTCGTGTAGTGGTGGTCATAGACTGAGAGAACGAGGAGTGACAGTCGAGGGTTGTCAGCGTGCCAGATCGTTGTTTGATGACGTGACTTCAATGAAAACGATATTAGGTAAAACGTCTCATAATACAACAGTAGAATATATCGTCTTGTTTCTTATTTAAGTCTTTGTCATTCATGACCTACACCTCGTTTAAAAGAAGTTGAAAGGGCATTAACTTTACTGTTCCGGCTTAAAGCCACCACTCATGAGAAAATTCACAATTGTCTTACTCTTGTCATGTTGCGTTACGTGAGGTTTGGTCTTGACACAGCCAGGTACTGACCCTCCATTGTTGGCCAGTATAGCGTTAATGTGGACCACCTGAACACTATATGCCTCGACTTATTTCATCTAAGGATTAACGCCCTTACGTTACCTGAGGGTTAGGTTAGGGTTGATTAGCGTTAGGGTGGTTAATCTTAGAGTGACAAAAAAAAATCAAATTTTTTCCAATCTTCGGGTGTTCTTACAATACTTCTACTGGTGTCTTGTGTTAAGAGAACATGGGCACACACACTACTAACCTTCACCAAGCTCAGAAAAACAATGACTGAGTTGTTCCTACCTTACATCCACAACACAGGAGTCATCAGCACGCAACAACACAGGAAGTCGTCAGCACACGCGGGCGACTCCTTGGTGACTTACCTTGAGAGAGAGGTGAGATATGAGACATGGTCCTCCTCACATCACCGAGCCAGGGTTCTTCTCAGAGATTCTCACAATAGCCCTAATTAGTTGTCTTAAGCCGAAATACAATAATAACGTCCAAAAAATGGCAGCAAAGGTACAGTGAGCTGCCTTCACTAGATACGGCCACTAACATCAATTTCATCTTTTATCTGAATTTCACTGAATAATTATCATGCTCAAGTAAATTTTAAGTAGATTTAAAGTTATTTTTGGGTGTTATTTTTGTTTCAGCTAAATGTGAATCTATTAATTAATTGCATTCTTGCATCTTCGTTTACGAGGGATGTTTCATCGTGCGAGGCTGAGTACAGTGTGTGGGCAGAGGACAAGTCTGCTGCTGGATGCTTAGATTGTGTGATTGTTTGATAATTTGCCAACTACCAGTCACCTCAAGGGGCGGTTTACAGTGAGTGTCCTGGGGGTCTAGAGGTAATGTTCCCCGTTCGAGTCCTGGTTGGGTGAGGTTGTTGATTATATGTAGAAGTCCGCGCGCTTTATGGGCTAATGATATATATATATATATATATATATATATATATATATATATATATATATATATATATATATATATATATATATATATATATATATATATATATATATATATATATATATATATATATATATATGATAAAATCACAGGAAAAAGAACGGAGACACCTTAGCTTTCGTCTTTATTCAAGACGTCTTGAATAAAGACTGAAGTGCTCCGTGTTTTATCAAAATTTTCATTGTGGATCTTCATATATATATATATATATATATATATATATATATATATATATATATATATATATATATATATATATATATATATATTATTTATATATATATATATATATATATATATATATATATATATATATATATATATATATATATATATATATATATTTCCTCCGTAGAACACAACATATTTCTAACAATCGCTGGTAGGTGTGTGTCCGGCTGCCAAATCGTAAGACGACCCTCGTAATATTATCCACTGTCAGATGTGGCCCGTCAGCGGGGAGTTTGTTTACACTCGTGACTGACTTTACCTCCCGGCACACTACACAGTCGCTTGAAGAAAACTCAGGACAGGACACTTGCTCAGGTGCCAGGAATCGCTGGAATGACGCTTACGACTGGTGCTTTTTATGTGCAAGAGATGGCGCTGGGGTTATAAGGTAGCGGGAGTTGACAGATGATACTCTTGTCATCCACGGGAAAGGGGGAGCGGGTGGTGAGGGTGTGTGAGGAACAAACGGTGAGTGCGTTTCTTGGGGAATTTTAGGGAGAACATTCCGAAATTGAGGAAGGAGGTGGAGGGGGAAGGAGAAGAATGGAGAGAGAAGAGACCTTGGCCTGTTGCCCGCTGTCTATTGTGGTTGTGCGAGCGAGGTTGGGCCAGTTATCCTGAGGGGACTGGGGAGACGAGAAGTGAGTGTCGTGCGTCGCGCTGCTTGACTCACCATCGTCACCGCCATGAAGGAGTGGGTGAGGCTGTTCAGTGACGTGGTGGTGCGGGCCTTTTACGGCAACAGGAACACCGCACCCGCCGCACCTCAGGAGGATACCACCAAGGTCGTAGCTCCTGCGGCGGTCCCTTCGTCAACGACAGCAGCAGCGCAGGCACCACACCCTCGCCAGTCAGCGGCCTCGTCCCTGCTTCTACCAGGTACCGCATCTGTCACATCCCCTTCTGTGCCTCCATTATCGCCCAAGCCCCCTCAGTCGTCACCCGTCACCCAGGTGTCAACTCATTCGCCGCCTGTGTCACCATTGAGAAAACCCTCACAGGAGGACCCCACTTCCACACAGTCAGTGTCTCAAGTCACAGCGGGTGATGGCTGGTCACGCTCCGTGGTGTCCAAAACATCACCACAGTCAGGGGATAACAGCTGGGGTGACAGTGGGCAGGAGAGAGGGCGAGGTCGTGGAAGGGTGCGGGGATGGGGCCGTGGGCGTGACGGTAAAGGGGGTTCTCGTGAGAGTAGTGGCTCCTGGGGTAGACCTGACTCCAAGGGAGCCAAAGGGGGACAACATCCTCAGAGGCCCTCATCGTCCGGATCCCCTAACACCCCAAATTCTAATTCTTCAGCTCCTCCTCGACCGAAACGACCTGGTTCGTGGCGTAAGTGGCCCGGGGCAATAACACGGTCTCTCAGCCCCAAGCCGTCACCTCAACCCCCGTGTGTGGACGAAGACGGGTTTACGCTAGTCCAGAGGCGTAGTAAGCCAGGCAGACCACCGCCCAACCCTCGGAGCAGCGATCCTACCAGTCCTGACGACGGAGGCTGCAGTGACCCCATGTACGAGGTTTATTCTGACCCTGTGAGCGTCTACTACAGCGACTTGGAAGATATTTTTTTACTGGAAGAAGACGATTTTCCAGAAATCAGAAGCGCCACGGTACCCACGGAAAGCCACCAGCCAGGAGCGTCACGATCCTTGTCGATTCACAATCGACCTGGCTCTCAGGAGTCAGGAATCCGTAATCGATTCTCGAGCAGCAGTGCAAAAGACAGCCCTAACTCCCGAGGGAAAGAGACAAATCAAGTAACAAGTATCCCTGCAGAACAGTGCAGCGAGCCTGTAATGACCTGCGTTAATCAGGGAGGCGCCCCCTCACGCCCGGCAGAACCTGTTGCTAAACAAGCCAGCAGGCAAAGTGTGGGAGATGTAGGTAAGGGCGCCAAGTTCAAAAGTGAACAAGTGAATACTAGAGTCATTGTCAAACACGAGGAAACTGCACCGCAAGATGCAGTCAAATGTGTTGGCAGTGAGGTAGTTGTAGACAGTAAAGTAAAAACAAGTGTTATCAGTAAAAAGTACAGTGCAAAAAAAAAAATAACCAGTCAAGTTGACTTACTGCAGAAACAATGCAAACCAGATAATGATGAAAAAGTGAAAGGAACACAGGCAGATGTCTCTAGCCAGGATAGACCTGTGGACATCCTGAAAGACGACACGGCTACGGATGCAACAATACTTGCACATGACAAGGCACACACACTATCTCAGGTAAGTGTCAAGTCGAAGGCCGCCGAAAACACAGGTGAAACATCGACACCAACGCCTGAAACAAAATCCAAAAAGTCTAGAAAGAGGAAGAACCGAAAGGCGAGTAAGTCTGAGAGCCGAGACATGACTGATGTTCCGGCCGTGCATGAAGAAATCCAGCACATGGATCCCTCAACAGATCGTCAAGTAGCAGAGTCGCGGGAATCTGATTACCAGCTGGAGCATTACTACGCCAGGAAGACCAAAACGAGAGACCCTCACAAACCGAATTGTAAAACAGACAAAGTTTCTGAAAAAAATCGGGAGTCACAATTGGATACTGTAATTAATGAGACTCATAAAGCTGAAGCAGTGTTGGAAAATTTTGATGTAGGAGATGAACCACGTGGAGATGATCGCGATAAACAAGATGAGACGAGAGAAAATACTCTTATGACGGACAGATCATATGATAATATATATATTGACAGTGAAGCTGAGGAAGGCAATTATGTGTTTGTCCAAATGAAAGATGTTTCGGCTGGTGACCCAATCATTACCAGCAAGACTGAAAACATAACTATTCATTACGAACAGTTAAATGACAATGAAAAAGAGATAACAGCAGCCTCTGAAGTCACTGACAGGAAAGCGTATACAGATACAAAGGAGAACTCATTATCCAAGTGTCCTGACTTAAGGGTAATCTGCCAAGGCGAAACTAAGGAAGACAAGAGCCGCCAGATGTCACACCCACGAAGCACTGCTAGCGAAGACCGTCCATCTGCAGCCAAGGTGCCTCCATCCCTTGAGGTAGTGGACCTTGAACCAATGAAATGCCAAGAAACAGAAAATCTTCCAAATGATGCGGAAAGTAACAAAACAGAAGGAACAAAGGAGAGGAAACGTAAGAAACACGAGAAGAAGAAAGCAAGAGATGATGAATCGTGTGAGGAAACTGATGAGAGGAAACACCATCAAGACAAGGCCAAGAAAGACATTAGAGAGACAGGGAAGGAGAACTACCCAGAGAATCACAGAGACGTCACACGAGAAGAAGTGAATGATAACCGCAAGAATAACAAACGAAGTCACAACGACATTAACAAACAAGAGCTGGACGAAACACACAATAATAATAATAATATGAAATACAACACAAAGGAAACAAACGTCTTGATCGATACAGGCAAGTCACCACCACCACCACCACCGCCTCCGCAACAACCACAACAAATCGAGATAGAACTTAGGGAGAGGACGAGCACCAGAGCCGCCCTACCCCAAGAGGATCCAACCACGGGCACCAAGACGGACGAGATCACAACCCTCATGAGCCTCATCTCTCAGAAGAAGAAACATATCCAATGCTTACAGATGTCGCTAAACAAGACAGAACCAACTGAAGAACCTCAAGAACCAGGAGAGTCAGTCATAGAACCAGGAGAGTCAATCAAAGAACCAGGAGAGTCAGTCAAAGAACCAGAAGAGTCAATCAAAGAACCAGGAGAGTCAGTCATAGAACCAGGAGAGTCAGTCATAGAACCAGGAGAGTCAGAACCAGGAGAGTCAGTCATAGAACCAGGAGAGTCAGTCATAGAACCAGGAGAGTCAGTCATAGAACCAGGAGGGTCAGTCATAGAACCAGGAGAGTCAATCAAAGAACCAGGAGAGTCAGTCATAGAACCAGAAGAGTCGATCAGAGAACCAGGAGAGTCAGTCATAGAACCAGGAGAGTCAGTCATAGAACCAGGAGAGTCAATCAAAGAACCAGGAGAGTCAGTCAAAGAACCAGAAGAGTCGATCAGAGAACCACAGATGTCGCTAAACAAGACAGGACCAACTGAAGAACCTCAAGAACCAGAAGAGTCAATCAAAGAACCAGGAGAGTCAATCAAAGAACCAGGAGAGTCAATTAAAGAACCAGGAGAGGCAATCATAGAACCAGGAGAGTCAGTCATAGAACCAGGAGAGTCAATCAAAGAACCAGAAGAGTCGATCAGAGAACCAGGAGAGTCAATCAGAGAACCAGGAGAGTCAATCAGAGAACCAGGAGAGTCAAGCAGAGAACTTCAAGCACTAACCATTGAACCTGAAAACCGGAAGGAGGTAGAGTCGGAGGATACGGTGAGTGACATGGAAGACCCTCAGCCACACCTGGGATCTCTGGCCACTCGTAGGCTAACTCCTGATGGTGCGGAGGCTGACGAAGGTACTCTCTGGGTGTTTGAATCTCTCGTCACAACTCCCATGGATAATATACTCAACAGGAAGACGACTACTGATGACCAGATTGACAGTAAAACAGCCACCCTGATAGACAGTAAGACAGCCACCCTGACAGACAGTAAAACAGACAGTCACCTCCCAGTGCACAGCCAATCGTGTCAACATTGGCATTACGCGGATGTTGATAATGAACGAGAAAATGATAAAGAGAGGAAGGAGAAGAGAAGGAGACGAGAGAAAGACAAAATGAAGCACAGACTAGAAGATACATGTGAAGAGAGGAAGAGAGAAGATGAGGGGGAGACGAAACTCAGAGAAGATAAAGAGAGACAGAAGTATATGGAGAATTATGAACAGTGTGAACAACAGGTACAAGAGACAGAAGAGAGTAGAATTGGCAAGGAAGAAACACAGAACGTAACTGAAGATGTAAAGAGAGACAAATGGGGACACATGAAGGAAGATGAAGAGATAGAAAGACAAGCGAAAAGAGAAAGAAAGGAAAGAAAAAGAAAGAAAAGAGAAGCAGAGGAAAGGGAAGATATAAAAGCCAGATATATAAGTGAAGAAAAATGTCATCTTATAGAATTACACAACCACGACGAAGAGGAGTTAGAGAGAATGAGGAAAGAAGAGAAGAGAGAGAGGAAAAGGAGAAGGCGTGAAGAGAAGGAAAGACTAAAACAGATGCAAGTAAACATTGGCCAAGACCCAGGGGAAACCCGTGAGGCGATAGAAGAGAGAGAAGCAAGGAGGGAGAGGAGGAGGAAGAGGAGGAAGGAACGCGAGGCAGAGGAATTAGAACGTCAGAAAATTGAAAGAAAACGCAGAGATGAGAGGAACTCTGTGGAGGAGGCGCCAGAAGTGTGTGAGTCACGGGCGACGGCGGAGCTCCACACAGCTCTCGACCACCACGCTTCTGCAGGTGAACTTCTCCACGCTGCCGCTACACACGCTCTCCACACTCCGTCGGATGACAAAACCGCTGCTGAGGATCACAGCACTGGTTTAGAGAGCTTCAACACTGCCGACAACCACGAAACTTCCACAGAAGATATCGAAACACCGTCAGAGGCTTTTGATACTGCTTCAGAAGCTTTGAGTACGACTGTGGGAGTTGCTGACACGACTGAAGAATCTGCCGAGTCTTTCTCAGTCAGTGGTATTAGTCCACTTGCTTTGGAGAGGCTGAGGAGAGTAAACGAATTATGGGAGCTTCGAAACAGTTCTCAACCTGAAGAGGAGGAGACTGTTGAAGCTTCCACTGAAGTGAATGAGGCCCAGAAGGGTGATTGTGAAAACACTGGTGACGAGGTGAATCATACTGAAATGAAGGCCAAGGCAGATCAGGGGTCATATTTAAACGATACGAATAGTGAAGACAGCGATGTTAATTGTCCACAAAATACGAGAGAAAGGAGAAGACGAAGAACTTCTCAAGAAAATGCCGAAGGGGAGAGTAAAGACACAACCCAGCCGGTGCGAAGGAGACGGCGCATAGATGACGACACTAACAAGGAACAAGAACTCGAGCCGAACAGTGTAGATTTCTCGACTGGCTTCCAAGGTTTTAACATGCTCAAGACGTTTGAAGAACTGGTGAGTGAACGGAGAAAGAGGAGAGTCAAGCGTCTAGAGGAGTCTGAGAATCAAGAGTCACAGGCAGAGGAAAACCCGCTACCACGGAGAAGAACTCGGACGACACTAGACGCCAGCAGTCAAGTGCAAGATTCTCAAACACAAGAAAAGAAAACTACAGCCACCTCTTCGGTAAGAAGACGTCGAAGGCCTGCCGAAGACACCAATCAAACATACGACTCCTTGGCAGACATCAATAGTAAGGACTACGAGGATATCTTCGCCCGGAGGAGACAACGTAGGAGTCGAAGGTTGGAGGGTGACAGTAGCCAGGTGGATGAGGATCGACGCTCAGCCTACCAGTCCCAAGACTCCCAGATATTTGACAGCATGAGCGAGGCTGATAGGCAATACGAGGAAATCTTAGAGAGGAGGAGACGCATTCGGAGAATGAGATATGCGGAGATGCACAAGAGCGACGAACAGCAGGACGAAGACACTGCTGGAACCTCACCTCTCAGAGACGCCCACACGTCCCAGTCTCAGAGGGTGGACAAAGTAGGTGACGCTGAGACCAAACAAACACAGCTAACCAACTCTAGCGGTTCCCAACAGACTCTGGCCTCCCAGGAACCGATCAGCGAGGCCAAGAGGTCGTCTTCAGAAAGTGATTCTAGTGACACAGACTCTAGTGATTCTAGTGAGGATAGTGAAGTGAATGTACCAGGACATAAACTAAGCGAGAAGAAGGGAGGTGAGGAAGACCACTACCACGAGCGAGATGGAGAAGACCAGGTAAGGAGAGTGTCTGTCTTTATTACCTCCAGCAGGTTGTGTGTGTGTGTGATGGCATTGATTGAACTCCGTGTTTTAAAACCTTTTAAAAGTTGTAAAATCTCATTTTTACTTTAATGTCTGCTAAAAAGCGTAGGGGAGGGAGGGGGCAGTGTGCCGTTTAGTGCACCAAGTTGTGTGTTGTCATTGGGTAGTGTCATCTTTAGGAGCTATAAACCATTTTGTTTCTTTCATTTTCCGTTAGGAGACATGGGTAAAATTTATGACCAACGTGTAGAAGTTCTCAGTGAAAAGACTGAAATTTAAGGATACGTAAATACTACAGTTACATTATTATCAAATAATGTAATGTGTTACTGAATGCTATAGAGAAATGTCACAGTCGACCATAACAAAACAATACTAGAAATTACGAGTGCTTTGAACGTTCAATTCATCGCCTCGTGTACAGTATTCTTTGTTGTTCAAGAGTTTTGTTTTAGGTAGTCACTCAAAAATTATCTTTACAAAATTGTATTGAGACAAATATGACACAACGGATGAAGGATTTTGACAACCCTACCGAGACAACAGGAATCACAGTGTTTAGTATCATTAACCCCCTCCCTCCCCCAGTAGTGTTTTTCAGGATCATTAACTAACACAGTTCACCAGCTTTTTACCCCAACGTATAATTCCTAGTACGCGTGAAGATATTCCCTGTTTCGTCATCATTATTGCTCACCTAACATACTGTGTCTTTACTTGTTATGTTGCTTTATCCGGTGTTCACTTATCCTCTGTATTTATCAACCATTGATTCTTTAAACGTGTTTTCTATCGTCCTGACTCGTCTTCCATCATTATAATTATTGTCCTATGGTGTTTGTTTACATCTCCGCCTCTTCCCACATGTTGGTCTCTCTCCGTCCTCCCAGAAATAAACAGTTTATTTTGCCTCCAGAATATACCATTACTATATTTTATTCCTCGTTATTTGTATTTTTTTATCTGTGTACCATCATTACTGTATATATGACATTCTCCCTTATACATTACTGTTCAACATTCCCTCATACATTATTGTTCAACATTCCCTTATACATTACTGTTCAACATTCCCTCATACATTACTGTTCAACAATCCCTCATACATTACTGTTCAACATTTTCCGTTGTTTACTGAACCTCCTGATCGTTGTGGTTAAAGAGTATTCCATTATTTCTTTTAGTCACATCACACAGTCATTCAGACTATCTTCTCAACAGTCTGTCCTTATCGTCAAAATACCTCAGTATTTCCTACATTCTTCTGCTGCCTCTACAGTATTTTAGCCTTACGTTGCACAGTTATTTCGGCACCATTTTTTTTTTAATAATAATGTGGTGTTCGTTTTACTGGTGATATTATTGTTATGTATTACTGCGCTTTTAACAACTAAGGTATTTAAGCACGCAGTGTATAGGTTAGTCCATACACGCGAGATTGTTTTGGTCCTCCCTTGTAGTTGTTGTTGTTGGAAGACTTTCTGGTGTTGTGGTCATTAAGCGAGTTAGTTTCACGCAACACAACATAATCATGCTCAGAAATATAATTATTCTATGAGGAAAAAAAATAATGTATCGTTTATTTGCGAGAAACTATCGGATTGTATGTTACTGAACCTTATCGTTTAAACATCAGAAACAAGGAAGTGAAGTTGGTTAGTTATACTCTAGGTCATCCCAGCTATTTACTGTTCCTGGAAACTGAGAAAAATAGAATGTAGTTAGTAAGGAACTTAACCCTCTTCTGGAATGAATATTTAAACCAGATTCAATAAGAAAATACTTGAGTAATCTCTAGTAAAGGACATGTATATGGACGACTAATTATGCGTTTTATCTACTATCATTTCTTCAGTTAATTAAGGCTGTAATATATCAGTTTAACATCGGTAATTGTTGTTTTCTAAATCAAATCAGTATGGTGGCCACATAGACCCGTCCGGGATGTGCAACAACAATACGATACACGAGGGAGTGTTGGAGGGAGCCGCCCGCCAGCCCTGGGTCAAGCTACACTCACTCGCTCTACCTTGGCACTCAACCAATGTCTTGTAGAAACCAGAAACCGCTCTCGCGGTACACACTACTCCCTTGGTACAGTTAGATACCAGGTGCTGTTATTCCCGGGTTGCCGAGTAACTCAAGTGATTCTTAGATTAGAAACCAAACACTATTCACGGTACACGTTGCTCTGATATGCTGGTGACTCAAGTAGATAAAAAAAACTTTGGTTTCAGAGTAAGTAACAATTGACCAATGACGTAAACACAAGTGTTGGTTAGCTTGGGTACGACTCAGCTGTTACTGTTGAGTTGTTCTCACTGACTTAAGCACTGTTCACCACTATTTAACACTGGTTACATTCCTTTCCTAAAGGAAATCGTAACTTCTGGCGAGAACTTGTTGATATTCCGGTGGGGAGGAGGGATTCAGGGGAGGGAGTTGGTATGGGCCAACATAACAGTTGACGTGGCCAGAGCAGCGTCAGGTACGTCTTGGCCCTTCGGTGGTCAAGTGTGTGTGTGACAGCCTTGACCGTGAGAGCTGGAAGTAAGAGTTGCCTGTAGTCCATAGGAGACAATATTTCGTTCGTTTATTTAAGTTCAATCAACTTCATTTTTCAATAAATTCTCAGGCCGAGTGTTGCGTGCACCTCGACACACTACTTCATTGTTCAGGCTCAGATGAGGCGTTACGGGTGACACTTGCCCAGAAACTTTGTGAACTTGACGTAAGAGGATTTATATATAGATAGAAAGTCGTTTGTTTCTGTGCCCATATGATCTTACGAACGAACACATACACACACGTCCTAATTCTTACCTAAAATATATTCAGTTTAATTATACGTTCATTAAAATATAGCTTACCAGGGAGTATGAACCAATGTTAAGTTACTGTGAATGAGACTTGAATGACCATCACTGTAGAAATTAGGGAACTTGTCCTGAGAGAGACCAGAGATTATCACGGTTAAGTCAAATGATATCCGGCAGGTGGCGCCTCTTGGTGGATTATGGTGATAGGAGACCATAGGCAGCTATAAACATTGACGCCTTCGCTCCACAGCCCCCCCCCCCCTCGTGACCTCCTTCGAAAATTTTACAATCTAAATCGAATTTTGGCCAAGACAAGAAATTTATTATATTTTTTATTTTATTTTATTTTATTTTTTTACTTTACGTGTCTCTGTTAGTAAGGATAGTCACACCTGAATCTGGCAGCAGAGTTTGTACAGCATATCTCATTTATGTTCGTGATAAGATAACCTTGTACGTTATTGATATTTGGGATGTTCTTGGCAATAATCCCTTTGTCTGTGACGAGCCAGGACATCAAGATCAATCCCCAGATCCCGTTAATTAACCACCAATAATATAAGATCCATTTCGAATTGAATAAGACGGAAAAACAACCGAAAATGCTCTACAATGTCCATACAGTCCCGTTCTCATTTCAAACATATATTATGTGCAGACGGCATAACATATTGAAATGCAGTTATTTGTATTTGCTTAGGTGAAAAACAAAACGTGAATAGTTGCTCTTTCAAAAACAAATAACTGCACTTTGATATGTTATGGCGTTTGCACATAATATACGTTTGAAATGAGAACGGGACTGTATGGGCACCCTGAATATTTTTTTTTGATTCTTCTGATGTCATTAGTATTATTAGTGTGGTTGTCCATAATACCTCTCACCCTTCATTATGGCGGTATAATAATTAGCGGAAAACTTTATATTGTTTCTTATGTCTAAAGGAAACTCAGAAAGACTTTGTGACGTTTGGCTTAATGAGGGTGGTGGTAGTGGGAAGGGTGGCTCCGCGTGGTGAACATTCTTAGTGAGAGCCTCGGCAACCACTGTGGCGCACCTACCTCCCCCCCTTACCTGTACTACCACACACCTCCCTCCCTCACCTGTACTCCCACACACCTCCCTCCCTCACCTGTACTACCACACACCTCCCTCCCTCACTTGTACTACCACACACCTCCCTCCTTCCCTCACTCCCACACACCTCCTCCCTCCCTCACCTATTCCCCCTCTCACCTCCCCACTCTCGCATCTCCACAACCCTCTCTTTCCTCTTCACAACCCTCTCTCGCCTCCACAACCCTCTCTCTCTCGCCTCCACAACCCTCTCTTGCCTCTCCACACCCCCCCCTCACCTCCCCACACAGTAAGTGTCCAGAACCTCTCATTACTGCCCTTAACAGAGACCCTGAGTAGTGCTGGTGTTGTGGTGCCTCACGCCCAGGGAAGCCCATAAGGGTGTACTGTACTGACTGATGGTGCTCACTAGTTGCTCCGTTTGTCTCTACTTTTTATTTTATTTTTTCTTGTCCGGTAAATAATCGAGGCTTTTTTTCATCTAAGAAAGTGGGACTTGGACACAACAGTGAGTAATTGCTTTGTGCAAATTAATTTTTTTTTTATTTATATATTTTTTTTAAGACACCGTCACTTTCCGCCTCCGGGTGCCACATGAAGTACCTGGCGTTGTACAGTATATCATGACTTGTTTCTTTTCCGTGTATTGTTTTCAGTAAGTCGTTATGAAATATTGCATTTTAATTAACGCATCATAACAAATTAGGGACAGTTGGTGTTGAGTGAGAGTAGTAACTTGGTGGTTGGGGGACTAGCTTGAACCACAGCAAATGGTAACATGTATCACGGTATTTGGGTTCCTTGAATAAATCTATCGAGTTCCCCAAATCATCTACTTCCGAAAGCCTCCTTGGCCCTGGGTATATGGGAATCGTGGCGAGTAAAGTGTACTTATGATCACTTCTGAGCGTCGGTTGACATGGTATTAGGGGGTTAGGTTGACACTGTCAGAGATGAGAGGTAATATTCAGCATGAGTTATATTTCAACAGGTTACGGTAGTTTTGGTGTGCAGTTCCCTTCACAGATGCGTTTACAGGGGCTGGTCAGGTTTTGTGTAGTGTAGCAGCACTGTGT